TTTTTTTTTCTGTGATTGTTAGGCAAATATTTCGGGAGAAGACACGGTGCGACACTGAAGAGGGGCTTGCTGGAGCAGCCTTGTCCAGCCGGCCCGCCCGCGGGTCCCACGCCCACTTTCCGTGTGTTCCTTTCCCTGATGCCCACAGATCTCTCCGAGGCAGGGAAAATTGGAAAGAGAAAATCAAAGGCTTCAGAGTGATTCTCCCTTGCTGCGGCATCCCCGAGGTTTGGGCTTAAGACACCCTAGAAGGAAGAGCGGATCTCTCTCCCGCTCAGGGGCGTTTGACATAAGCCCCGTGCCGGCGCTGGRATCCGAGGAACCGTCACAAGCACCCTCCGTGCTTGGCTGCACCAAGCGGCGCAGGGATCTCGGGGTTCATCAGTTTTCCCTGAACACGCACGTAGTTGAAACAAAATAGCCAAAAGTAGAAAACACCCCGACACCCACTAAAATTAAAAAAAAACCCGTAAGAAAATTTTGTTTTTCAGACCAACTCCCGGCGGGAACCCCCGTCAGGGACTTGTATGTGGCAGGGACGGAGAGGGACCAGCTTAGCATGGAAACACTGCGGGAGAGCTGGGGAAAGGAGCAGCCCCGGGGMGGGGAAGGGGCTCTTCAGGGAAGCACGGGGGTTGGGGGAGCGTGGGGGAGAGCGGAGGGCCCCGAGGGAGTGCAGCCACCTTCCCTTCGGCTATCCCGGGTGCGGACAGGGATGCGCGGGGAGGTGTGCCCCCCGCAGACCCCGACGGCCGCCCGCTCTCCCGCCTGGAGAGGCGGAATCACCCCTTCGACGGGGCTCCGCTCCCCCAAAACTATGTCATTAACATAAATCAAATAATGGCCGGGGGTGGGAGGGGGGAAGAGGGGAAGGGGGAAGAGGTGGGGTACGCGACTGCTCATGAGTTAAATATAAGTCTCTGACTGTCCTGAACAAAGCGACCGTCCCCTTGGGAAGGGTGACGTCTCTCCAGTAACGTGATTGCTTCTTCGGAAGCAGAAACGTGTAAACGCTATAAAACGCGGCGGCGCGGCGGGCAGCTCAGAGCGTGCGGCGAGACGGAGCTCTCCTCTTCATCCTCATCCTCCTCCTCCTCAGCCTCTGCCGCCGCCCCGGCAGCCGTGCAGCGGAGCAGGGCTCACTCACCCCAGCACCGCTCCGCTCCGCGCCCGCCCAGCCAGACCCATCGACGGACTCGCGGCTCCGTGAGTAACTTTCTCCCCGCCACAGCGGCAACTTCTCAGCGGATCAGGAAGGATGTCCCCGTCCTGTACCCCCGCTCCTCTTCTCCCTTCCCGGACCTGCAGGGAAGGCGTCCCGGCCATCGGGAGCGGGGAGAATTTCTGGAAGCCCAGGGCAGCCGCGGCGGGACCCTCCCTTGTCAGCGCTTCAGTCGCTGAGCCCCGAGCACCGCTGCCCCGAGCACCGGGCCGGGGGTCGCTGTTGGGGATGCCTGACCGCAGGCATCTCCCTGCCATCGCGACCCTGCTGGCCGGCATCGTCTCTCGGGACAGGGACCGGGGGCAGGAAGCGGGGCCGGGGCAGTCTGCCGGCGGCCCGAGGGAAGCCCCGTTGGCGGGCCGGCGGTGCGGGCGGTGCGGGCGGTGCGGGCGGTGCGGGTCGGTGGGTGATGGCTGCGCTCTTCCCTCCGCAGGTGGCGGCCATGGAGCACCGCGGCGCCTCCCCGCTCCTCCTCGCCCTCGCCCTCCTCAGCGCCCTCTGCTGGCGGGCGCGGGCGCTGCCCCCGCGGGGCGCCGCCTTCCCTGCCGTGCCGCGGTAAGGGCCCGCTCCGCTCCGCGCTGCGCTCCGCGCTCCCRGCCCCGCTCCGCGCCCCTCCGGCCCGCAGGGGCCTGCCCAGCCCCGCCCGGTGCCCGAAGGGGCTGCCAGAAGCGCCGGTCCTTCGCTGCGCCTTCCCGACGAGCGCGCAGTGCGGCGCTTCCCGTCGGGGCGTTCGCCCGGGAGCGGTGCACCGAGCGGGCAGGGTGCGAGGGGTCCCCGCGGCCAGGCTGCCGTCAGGCGTGTTCCGAACCCACCCTGTAAAAGCCCCCGGGACACGCACGCATCTCCCGAGGTGGCTGCAGCAGCGCTGCCCCACGGGCTGGGTSGCGGTGACCGCGGGATTTGGTCACGGTGAGCCCTGGGACTTGAGCGGGTCCATGGGAGCAGAGCGGAGGATGCGCTTTGTACCGCTGCATGCTTCGGCTGAAGTTGCTGTTAGCGGTCCAGCTAAATTAATGGTGGCAGGACGGTACGGTTTGCGTTTAGGTAAGAGGAACATAACGTGTAAAAGGACAAATGAAAACCAGTGCGGGAAACCAACACAATGATTCCCAAAAGGTGTGACTTGAGCCCGTTCATTTTACACAGCAACTTTGCATGGGTTTTTATTTTCACCAGACAGAAGACTTACATGGGGCAAGTCAGATACCAAGTGGTGCTGATAGTGACTGTAGGATTACAAGGGCTTAGTTTTAGCAAGTGATTTTTGCATGTCATCACACACATGGTTTTCCTACAGCTGTGGAAGCTTGTTGTCTGCCACAGAACATAAGAGCAGCGAGAAGGAATATCTGATGCCCAACTACTGCTATGCAGTCAGTTTGCCCTTGATAAAATACGACACATCTCAAGAAAACATAGTTTACAAAAATGTGAAGTAACTGTACATCAGTTTATACAGAGCAATTGCCATGATTCATTTTAAGAGATTAAACATGAACATTTCTTAGCTTCTAACATGAGAGAGTAAAAACATGTCGAGATACGTGACTGCACTTTGTATTTAGTTTGAAGTTCTTGGTGTATTTGCTTTCTTTGGAGAAGGTCTGGGAACTGTTTCATTCTGGATTTCAATGCACATCTTAAATCTTCACTAGGAAGTAAGTACATCACAGAAAACAGTTTTCACTTTGCRTGGGTGGAAGCTGTTAATTCCATCCATCATTTATTCAAAATATAGTTGCTAGGAAAAGCTTCATGGTTGTCACTTGTGCTGTGACTGTCATACATTATGCACAGGAATAAATTCTGTTCAATCACAACATTTATCTAGAAAACATGAATTTGAGAGAAGAATCTGTTATATTAATTAATCTACAATTACACATGGATTCTACCTGAAAGTGAGTCCTGTTTTATCCAGGCTTCTTTAAAATGCCTCACGGATTGAAGTAATAGATGTGCATTGTGACACAARCCAGAATGTAAGCATCAGTAAAGTATCGCATGTCCTCAGCTAGCTGTACTTTTTATGGTTTCTTTCTCCAACAGATTGGGAAACAGAATGCCATTTGATGGAGCCAGTGAACCTGACCATGCCCGTGGGTCATTAAAGTCAGAATCAGATATTTTGCAGAATACACTACCTGAAAATGAGAAATTCTATTTTGATCTGTCCAGAATTATTGATAGGTGAGTTTCTTTATTATCATAATACAAAAGGTGATTGACTACTTGATTTCTGCCAAAAAATCATTCACGTTTTCAAACAGATATAGGAAAGGAAGACTCAGTTGCAGAAGAAAATCTCACAGCCGCTGCTTAAATACAGGTAGCAGTAGGGATGTCGGCAGAAATGTTGATTGTTTTGCCATTCTGGCATGATGAATGCATTCACTTTCCAGGAAGGGCTAAAAAGTATATTGTGAAAATCTGGAAGTTATTTTCTGAAATGAGTTTTAATTTTATATGTATAATAGATAAATTAAGGAAAGCAGTATGTTTACAAAACGAACATTATCAAAATTATATGAACCCAGGCTGTATTGTAGAGTTTATTTATTGTCCATTTCAGAAATGCAAGGCAAGCTGATGGAATTTTCACCAGTGTCTACAGCCATCTTTTGGCTAAACTTGCTGTGAAGAGATATCTCCATTCGCTTATTAGAAAACGAGTTAGGTGAGGTGACACTTACATTAGGAAGATTTTTTTTCCTAGCTGGCTGCATTGGCAATTTTTTAACCCTTTCTCTATCCAAGTTCTCCTTTTTGTTATTTAGAGATAATGAAAGAGAAGCTGGTATAATCATGTACATGAAAATCCTATATAAGTCTTTAGTGGTATTACTAAATGAGTATGTTACTATTTATTCCTGACCCAGCTGTGAGAGGTAGAGCAACAGATACTGCACAAAGCATGGWTAATGTATACTGGAAATATTATAATGATTATCATGCCAATTTGCTAATTCTTTTTTTTTTCTGTTACTGTTTTTACTAACTGGCAGATGAGTGGCAAAAGTACTTAACAACAGTGAAATGCACAATGAAATCAAGAAACAATTGGTTTGCAGTGAAAATGTAAAGGAATAGTTTTTTCCTGCTATAGAGCACATTGCCAGATGTTTGTTTGTGAGATCTGTATTGCAACAGGATTCAAAAAAGAATTAGAACAATTCATAGACAAAGGGTCTGGATGCAGTTTCCAGACCAATACATCAACAAACTAATGGACAYAGGGTGCTGGGTAGGATCACTGTATACTTTCCTTGTTTTCAAATCCAYGAGCAGCAACTGCTGAGCCACTATGACAATTCCACTGAGTCCCTACTTCACATGCTCAAAAATTGAGTRAAAGTTAGGTCCTCCATTTATGTCAGTGCTGTCTTTGTTCCAGATCATACAATTCCAGTTCCTCATMTGCTGTAAACTAACATAGACCATTTAAACCAGAACACCCTGACATTTCCTAAGACTGTGTATGAGAAAAAGCCTCCAGGTTTGGTTTTCATTAGGTATGTTTTGTCCTCTGAAACCTTAGAACAAGCATTTGAGGCTACTTGTGTGACGCTGCACTCTGATTTTTCTCGGTGGCAGACTCCACCTTCAGAGTTCAGTGTGAACAGTGATGAGGTCCTTTTAGAATTTACTGAAACTTAAACCAGGCTGTACCTTGGTATTGCATATACTCTGTATATAGCCACACAAATGCTAGAAATTAGACGAAGATCTGTTTAGTAAAAGGAGCAGCCTGGGGTGTGAGAACAGGCAGGACAGAGTCATGAAATCTACACTTAACCACTCAGTCTTGAAGAACTCCTGGGACAAGGACTCCAGAAATCATTGACTGTGTATCCTGATTGCATAGGCCATGGCAAAATGGAGAAAACAATCAGTGAAAGGTGTGCCCTAAAAAGATTGAATACCAGTCTTTGGAATTTGATCCTTGCTATTAAAATACGTAGTAAGCAATAGAAGCAATAGAACTTTTTTTCAACAGAAGATATATCTGAAGTCATAGTTTGAAATGAAAGCTGAAAAGAAAATTTGGGTTTATTAGGCTAATCAACATCATGAATCTTATTTCACTCATTTAATGCTGTCTTCTTTTAAGCAGACATCATCTCTTAATTCTTTCTTTGTAATTGTTGTGTTGCCAGCTCCCAGGACAGTCCTGTCAAACGCCACTCTGACGCTGTCTTCACTGACAACTACAGCCGCTTCCGAAAGCAGATGGCTGTGAAGAAATACTTAAACTCAGTTCTAACTGGAAAAAGAAGGTACCACAAGAAAGCAAATATGTATCTTTCCACACTTTCATGGCATTAGGACAGAAAAGGTTTACATCCATGTATGTATTCAGGGAGGACAAGCAAAAGGCACTGAACATTTATGACTTCATAGCATTGTTTATATCATGGCTGTCAAATACAGACAACATTTTCTTCCTGACTGAAACAGACACCACAATCAGATTAGGGTAAAAGAATAAATAGGAGATGGCATCTGGCAATTTTAAAAAGCTTCCAACAGATTCTTACACTGTTTTTATTTTTAAAAAAAAGCTTCTTCAGGAAAAATTACAGAGCTATGGAACATGAACAAAATTTTATTAAGAAATTTGTTGAAAATTTGCCTCCATGTAAAGACGTGAAATGAAAATTTAGAAGTCCCTGAAGGACCATATGTCCTAAYCAGTGTAGGTGAGAAGTGCCAGCGTACATTTTTGTAGACCTTGTATTCTAATTGTATATTCATTCATTTAGACAACTTTTGAATAGCATGTCTCTATTCATTAAACACGCTATTTCATATGTTTTATAGCACTTGGTTGTAAGTGTAAGAAAATGTGCAGAAAATACAGTTGTAAGAGGACTTTGCTTTTTTGCTTTTTCTTCTGAGAGAGCAATAAAACTTATTTCTSATCCACAACAGCCAGGAAGAACTAAACCCCGCTAAACTTCGAGATGAAGCAGAACTCCTTGAACCATCCTTTTCAGAAAACTACGAYTCTGTAGATGAGCTGCTGAGCCACCTCCCACTGGTATGCCAACGTTTTCTTTCCTCTTGCTCTCCATTGCTTTACTTGTAAAATTAGATTAATTGTACATGAAGTGTGGCCTATCAGAAAATCAGAATAATCTAGGAAAGAGAGTCACATTCCATGAAAAGCTTTATGTTTCTACAGAGATTGTGTCTGAATAAAATAATAATTTTAATAATAAGYTCTAAGTTATCCCATGATTGCCATTGTGAAAATTCCTAATTAAATGGCACTGTTAATAATGCATCTAACTCACTGGGGTGGTTCGACCAGTGTGCACTGCAGCATAAAACCAGAACTGACTCATTTTAAATTACAAAGATCATTATTCCTTCAAAGAACAAACTTGAGGATATTTCTTTTAATTAAAAAAAAAATGCTTCAGATTTTGTTGAACACCTTTTTCATTAGAAAGGAGTTGCCCCTAGAATTAAGATCAACAGCAACATGAACCCTATGAATTAAGAAAGCACTTGACATGAAAATCTTGCACATACAATTTTCCATTTAGCTACTACTACTTTTTCTAAAATCATTCACCATTATTTTTCTTTGGTTTGTTGAAATGTAAACCCTTCTACATCAACACTGGCAGGAGCATAACTTTGAAAGGGTAACAGAGCAGCAAATTTGGCTATTCTTGAAAGTATGTTATGAAATTGATGATAGTATGGTTTTGGTATTCAGCTGTGTTTCAAACACAAGTAAGAAAAAAGATTAAAARGCTATTTTTGAACCTTTATTTTTTCGGGGGGAGGAGGGCTGGTTGGAGATGATACCAGAAAAGACATTTCTCCAAATTTTGTTTCAAGACAGAAACAAAATGAGAAAATGTTTTCCTTTCCACAAATGTGGCATTTCCTCTAACATTCCCAAAGGTTATAAAGGACATAAACTAATTATGCCTTGAGGAAGTTAAAAAATTTAAAAAAAAAATTAAGCAATGTGATAACATGATTCTGGAAAGAAATGTTCTTTCTGGACAAGATTAAAGTGAAAAAAATCTGGTCTTGGATTTTGCACCTTCTCAAAGTTCTCTCATTGACTAAAGGAGAAAGAGTAGTGGTGCAGTAGGTTGCAGATGTTTTCCTGAAAACATGTTCAGTCCTTTCCTTTTTTATTGACTTCACTGATGAGGCAGATCTGCCTGTAGGTGAATCAGTATTGACTGCTCCTTGTCACTTGATTGCAGTGCCCCGTTGCTAATGTAGTGTGGAACGAGCAACCTGAGTTTGTGTATCTGCTTCAAGCAGACAGGTTTCTTTTCAAAGTGAGCAGTTTTGCACTGTAGGCTAACCTGCAGTARCATTTTTATCTCTAGTCCTTCAACCTTTCTTTTCTCATGCTACAGTCTTGCCTGACTGTAATGCCCACCAAACTCCTGTGAACAYCCACATTTCAGTTTGTCAGTCCCAAGAACAGCAGTTGTTTTATATCAAGTGTTACTTTTTGTCTGCTGTCCACTCTTATACTCCTCATGATGCCAMTGATTACAAAAGTGACTTCTAAAGCACATTTCTCCTTTGCTTTTCAGGACCTCTGAAGGACACCTGGTAAAGTCTATGACAAGAACAAGCTATTTTTGAGTTCCACATAGTATTTCAAAGAGATGACTTTAGTCATCAAACCAGAACAAATATGTTGTGAAGTGAAAGTTGTGATATATTTGTTTCTTATGTAATAAAAGTTGATATTTACATTGTAAATATTACTCTAGAGTTCTCTACTGAAAGCTGTACATATGGATGCCAGTTTAACTCATGAGAAGTCTGTGAGTTCATATGCTGTAAATCCTTTACTTCAATAAATTCATTTGAAAATGAGTGTGCAGCTGAAAAGAGCCCATCATGACTAATTAATTGGCTTATTTGAGGTGTGATACAACTTCAGACAAACATGTTTGACAATAAGGATACATTTCCAGATAGCCTCCTAAACAGCATGTAAAAACATGAGAAAAAAAATGTGCAAAGTGTGTAAAACTGCTTTACAAAGATGTATGAAGGTTGTTGCCAAGTAAAAGAGAATGCTTTTCTCGCAGTTTACTAAGCAAGTAGAAAAAATTAATAAAAATTAAACATTTTTTTTTTACCTCCAGAAGCATCTTTCCCTCCTGTTCAAATTTCTAATATTTCAAAACATGCAAATTATCTTGAGACYGCAAAAGTCTCCTTTTCGGTTGTGTTTCAGATGCTCTGGAGCTGACAAAATGCTGAAAGAATGCAATCCCTTGACCTGTTTGATGCCTAAAGTCATCAGTCATTCTACATTTAATTGTCTGTAACTTTGATGATGAAACTATTGCTTATATATAAAATAGATTTGAAGACAGTTTACTATTTTTTCAGAATGAATGTAATTTACAGAATATGAAGACAATAAATCATTTTATTATCATGGCAAGCTATTACTGGTTTGAATCAGTGCTACAGATACGTGGAACAGTAGAGGTCCCAGTAAGTGCTGTCTCTACTATAGTAATAGGGGAAGATAATATTTTTAACTGATTTATGCTTTATTATTTTAGAAAGACAAGTAAAGAAACCTCCAGAACCCCTTTCTGTAGCTTTCTGTTATTGTAGATGACTATGGAACTGGAAATTTGCAGCTGTTTGATTCACAACACTGATGTAGAAAGTAGAAAAACTTATCAGACCTACTTACAAGCTCAATTTGGAATTTCAAGTATATTTATAAATCATACATATGCACACATAGACAGTGATAAAACTGATTTGCAAGTTTCACTTACAAGTTTACTGTTCTGATTTAGAAAGAAACTTCTAACATGATAAAAATCTGAGATTTATGGAGAATAGTCCTCATAAATATGTAGCCCTCTGATTTGCAATTTTTTTGAATATTGGCAACTGCATGTCAAAAGAAAACCAGCTTTCACGGATCAAATGCTAATATTGCTATTTCTATCTAGCCTTGACAGAATCTATTTTAGCCTAAGCCAATGAATGGTTCACAAAAGTTATATTTTCACAAAAGACATAATTTTGAAGTCTTCTCTTGAAAAGTGGTTTTCCACCCCCAAATCCTATCATATTAAGAACATCTGAAAGCAAAAACATCTTTGTAAATACTTGAAGGATACTAACTGACTGATGCTATAGTACTTAATTAGAAATTTTCTTCAGTGTTGTTTGTACTATGTTACTATTTCTGTGGGATGTAAACATTAAAAAATAAGTGAAAAAACCCAACCAGAAGCAAAACTGCATATGGTCTTTATACACAGATTATTTTTTTTAAAATGTATGTCATTCATTCAATTTAAAGTAACAAAAATGGGAGTGATCAAACTTTTGAATACACAATTCCAGATTTTTTTTGTAAATATTTCTTTTAATATTTTTTAATTTTTATTTCCAGCTTACCAATAAGGCATCTGATGGAAGAACTTGTCTTCCATGTCTAATGTATTATCTTCCTGATAATGTATTATCTTCTGATACTTTGTTCTCCATAGAAAACTGCAGAATTTGGAACATGTATTTTCTATGTTACATGAAGATGGAGAAAAAACCAGGGACACTTTTTAGAAAATCATGTATATATACACACACATTGTAATAACTCAAATAATACCATGGTAGCTTCCTCCGAGGGTTAGCAAACAGAGACAGTCTAAAATGCTTGCTAAATTTTGTGTACATTGTAGGAAAACCTAGCACTGACAGGAGAGACAGTAACCTCCAGAGTAATATTTTTTATTTGATATTTGTGTTAAAGAATGGCTTTTAACTTGTCATAACAACCTTTGATTTTCCATAGGAGATTTAAAGCCAAATTAATTCATAGAAAGGAGTTAATTGTGAAAGAGGTAGCACTGTTCACCTCAAATCCACAGGCAAGTGGCCCTGGTAAGGTTAAATGATAAAACTGAAGAGAAATTGTAGCATTCCACTGAATTATTTGATACATGCTGTCACCTTTACAGTCCATCTGCAAAATGTCATCTGAGTGGGTTCAAAACATTGTATTATTGGGAGAATGAACAGGCCAGCCCCAAAGGGTGTGACCAGAGAACTTCCAGAAGGGAAAAAAATACCCAGAGGATTTAGAAGAGCACCAGTGTCAGGGAGACTGCATCCTCCCCAGAAGGGAGGATGGAATAAAAGTGTCATGGATTATTGTTGCAYATGTTAAAGAAAGAGCCTACCATGTTTCTCCAGGATTTCACTTCTAATGCAGGATAGGGATACCTGTGGTCTCTCAGGGTAGGACTAAGTAGTTTTTGGTTTATTGAATGGGGTTTGGCTTTTAAAACTTCCCCTTGGAGCTCTTAAAGAAAGGTACAGAATCACCTTGCAGTGCATCTGCACKAGAAGAGGATCTTTTCTGGTCCTAAATCCACAGAAAAGATTTGCACGCTTCTGTGCATCTGTACATTCATCATCCATTCAAGAACAACAGTCARAATTGTGTATAACACCATGAGGATTACAAAAGTTGACAAAATGATTTAAAATTACAGCCAGTAAAAGCACATTAAAAACAAATAAAACCCTAACAGCTCCTCTGATATTTTAAATGGATTTGAGGGGCTATGAGTGTTTGTTCCTCCTGAAAGTCTGAGAAAAATTTGCTGTTTAAAAATATGGAAATGGGCAACTTGGATCCAAAGCATATTTATAACTTCGTGTATATGTATATTGAATTATCCCAAAAAATGGACCTTTTATGAAAGAGATGTATGTGTACCAGAATAATTTATATTGCAAGATATTTGGGGYGGGGAGATTGAGGAGTCTGTCAGCTGCCTTTTGTGATATTACCTACGCTTTCCACAATCTCTTTTATTTTTCCTTATTTTCTCTCTCCCTCCTCCACTTACCACAGGCTTTCCCATTCTTTAATAATCTCACTGTTGCCTTGTGAATTTGGTGTATGAACRTACGCCTGTGCTTTAGAGAAGAGCAATTGCAGCAAAACTTAAATTTGTGGTGCAGCAACGTAACGACTGCCAGCCTCGTTGATGGAGAGGAGTATTGCAGAGAACCTGGCACAATCAGCTTTGCAGGAACAACCTGTGCTGCTCAGAAACAGCCCCTGACTTCCCACTGGAGAATTCCAGAGTGCTGTGTGCCTGGCAGAGAAAGCTGACCTCTCCTTGGATACATCAAACAGACCCTGTGTCCTCCCGGAGCTTGTGCTGGCTCAGGCAACTGCAATATTTCAGGTTTTCTCTTTTCTGATCTGGAGCARTCACAGACAATTTGCTTGTCAGGTTGCCAAACTGGTTTAGAGCTGGAGGTAGGAAATTAGACACCTGTCTTTTACCTCAGTCTTTAGAAAAGTACAAAGAATAATTTGGTGCATATTCTCCTTCTGAAGTAAACAGGAAAAGTTTTATTTCAGTTTTGCACACAGATACAGGCAGGCCACTTAAGGAGGGGAAAAGAACGACTGTTCCTTGTGAGGATAAGTATTTTCAATAACTAAATAATCAATGTTTGTAAATAAAAGTATRACCTCATATTTAAAGATTAAACTGCAAGTGACATAAATCATAGTGATACAGTAAAAAGAAATCTAAATATCATCACTAYCATGGTAAGAAGAATATTTTCAGTAGAGCATATTTTTGGGAAAGAATGGGGTTTTTTTCCATAACGGCATGAAGAAAAGGAGGAAAATTACCTTGTTCTTCCCCGCTGAGCAAGTTATTTAATATTAGATAAACTTTTGCATAGGATAATATGCTTAGAAGAGTGTACAAGAAGAGGGTGCATAAGATCCATTTTCTGTATCTTTTTCTGGAATTACTCTGGACATTTAGAAGCACTATTTCACATTTCAATGAGACCACAACATCTAATAGTGTAAGTTATTTCTAAGCAAGGGATACAAGTGTTTTTAGTATGTAGATGCAATTATTGAACAGTTTTCTAGTCAGAATTTGCTCTTATCCAACTCATATCCTATTTTTGGAATGGGGGAAAAGCAGAAGAGAAGCTAAAAACAGTCACTCTCTTCTGTTAGATGAAATGTATCAGTGAAGATCTTTCTACTTAGGAAATGTACTCAGAGCAGCAACTTTTTTCAGCATGAAATAGCCAAGCTGTTGACTGGGARGTGTCAAGTTGTTACACATCAGCTTTTTGATAGAGAAGAATTCATTTATATCAAGCCTGGGAGGCTCCTAGTTGTTTGCTTATTTCATATTCCATTGAATTGCTTTTCACATAAAGTGGTCACAAGCACGTTTGACAGATGTCTTGTCACCACTTGTTTCTATTCTAACAGAGTTCTTAATTTTTCAGACAGTCCCTCTTCCCAAAATCACAGCCAGAACATCTGCACACTGTTTTAAGCAAGCAATTTTGTCTCTTATTAGGGAGAATAGAAAACAAACTACTAGGAAGACTCTTCATAAAAATGCTAAGGATATATAATTTATGCAGAAAGACTGAGTCTTGGTTAAAAAGTAAGAGGAGTTTGAAAAATTCTAGATTTTGTATGARTCGTTTCAGTCCCATCTGGTGATTCCCTCCAGAGCAGCACATGGTACTTGGAATTCCAAAGCTGCTGTCAGAGCTCTGGTTTTGATCAGTGAAGCCCGGTGTGAGAAAGAAGAAACTGGTAAATGCTGAGGTAGAGCAGGTGAAGACTGTCTCCAAAAGAGTACTTGATGTTAAACTTATATATGTTTATATATATAGTTTATATATGGCTGTTTGTTCCCTGTAAGTTTAGGACTGTTGCTTTGAGAAGAAATAGTGATCTCTTGCTGTCAGAGGACCTCACGTTATGCAGGTTCATTCATTAACTTTGCAAGCTCCCTCAGGAGCACAGCTGGGTTGTTTGTGCCCTAATTCTCCAGCTGCACAGATCGAGCAGCTGTACTTGCTGGGAGCCTTCTCTTTATTTGCAGCCTAAATTGACAGACACCTTTTCAACCATTTCTTACCATCCTRATCTCCCCATTGTAAGAGTACCGTTGCTTTTCTCAAGGACCTGTATTCCTARATGTATTTATAGCCTGCTTTTCCCCCTCAGCCTTGCTTTGTTAGGTTGAAGATACAGACTGTCTTGTCTCATCTTTTCAATGAATCCATATTTCCAAGGCTGTGCTGGAGCCCCATGCCCAGTAGGCTCATGTTCCATAATGAGTTTAACACTCCTAAATTACTGTTTGCTGAATAAATCTGCAAGTGTCTTCTTTATTGTAGACATTTAGGAAAAGTGACTAGGATTTTGAAGACCTCTGTCTTGAAGGTCTTGGAAGAGCTGATTTTTCAGTCTGGCTGGTTTTTTTTTTGTTGTTGCTGCTTCTCACACATTTGCGAGTTTTCAAAAGTGGAGGAAACAGAATCACTGAGCACTTGCTATAGGATACCTTTTTCAGAGTGAGTGAAGGGAGCGGCACTCAATTCAATCTGAAATGCCTGTAAAGCAGCACTCCATTATTCAGCAGGAACTGCCCAGATTATTAAGTGGTTTCACCTAGATCTCTGCATCTTTTTTATGCACTTATAGCCTGCATTTTTTAATCTAACTTCCTTAACCTGCTATCAAGGGAAATGACAAATGCAGCCCTTGTATTGCCATTCCATCCTCTGTGACACTGGACAGACAGGTGACAGCAGCAGCAGCCCTGGTTCTCTTCTGACTTTTGGCAGCCTTAGGAAGGGAAAAGAGATCAGTTCACAGCAAAGCCCCAATACATGATAAAGGAGATTAGGGTAGGAACAGCAGCTATATGTCCTCTGACTTGCCCTGTGAGTAGTGAGTGGTACAGTTGACACACTGGCCCATCATCCACATTAATTCTTCAAAAGGAAGATGGAAGAGAGCAAGGCAAGCACTCACTTGTGCATTTATGTCATGGATATTAAAATATCATGCTAAAGAGTAGTGCCARTGATGCTGAGGGGCTGAGGGTCTCCTTTCATCCATAGCTAAAGGATTACAACAGGGATTACCTTCTGGATCATTAGTCCACTGCTGTGCAGGAATAAAGAAATCCAGCTGTGTTGACGACTTGGGTCATTGCTCTTTGATTTATGATTCATACCCTGTTCAGTACAGGTGAGAATACAAGTGCTCAATGTACCCTGCTTTCATAGACAAGGGGTTTGATTCTGTAAAGATCAAATTTAATTGGGTATTGCACATTCTGTAACTTTCAGGCTCCATTTAAATGTATTTTCCCAAAGAATGGCTAATACAAAATTTCATTTCCCTGGCCTTAG